ATCGATCAATCAATAACATCCCAATAGTGCTCAACAACCGGCCTCCACCGTATGCCAATGAAGCGAAATATTTAGGTATGACCCTGGACGCAAAACCCCGTTGGAAAGAACATATCAAAAAGAAAAAAGACCAGCTAAACATTACAATTAAAAAACTAAACTGGCTAATGGGTAGATATTCAGAAATTAATTTTTACAATAAACTACTAATTTATAAACAAGTGGTTAAACCAATCTGGACTTACGGGATACAACTCTGGGGTTGTGCGAAACGAACAAATTATCAGTCTATACAAACCATACAGAATAGGGTCTTACGCAACATAGTTAGGGTCCATGGTATGTGAGAAATAGTACTATTCAAAGGGACCTAAAAATGAACACCGTAGAAGAAGAAATTAAAAAACACTCAACAAACCATGATAATAGAATTCAACATCATCAGAATCGTGAAATGCGTGAAATATCAAGTAATAATGAAACTCGACGCCTAAGAAGAAGGAGGCCTACCGGCCCAATCTAGGGAAATAAGAGAGAATACAGATCTTTGGGGTTACCATCAATGGATAGTCTTTTCCCCACTCAACAAACAAGCTAAAAAATAATTGCTCGTTAGGTTCAACTGGAAATTAGTTGCAATAAACAACGTTTAAAAAAAAAAATGAGTCAGAACACACATATACGTACATACATATATGTGTGGGAGATAAAATCTTAAATTAAAGATTTCAAAATTTAATAATAAAACCATATTTACTATTTTTTAGAAAAATATATTTTGCGTCTAAAATATAAATGTATGTAATAAGTCTTTCCTTACCATAATTTACTTTGGGATTTTTTTTTAAATTTGCCAAATTTTTGAGGGAGACATTTTGCCTATTTTTTTTTTATTTCTATTAGACCGTTGAAAGAATAAATTAATAGCAAGTTTATTAAAATAATCTAAATACGAATTGACAATTGTTCTGGCATAAAAATTAAGTTATATAAAAATGCACATATGTATGTGTGGGATCTACTATACTTAGTCCTAACAGATGTGGCAAAATAACACTAACAGAGTTCATCCAGTTCATCCAGTTCATTCATTGAGTAATCATTTACATAACATTCAACATTGCAAAGCTCACGACCTTTTTCTAACATAAAGCCATTTTCATACAAAAAAATTATCAAAAGTTGTTTTGCCTTGATCACTTTCTCATTCTCTCATCTTTTGTTCTTTCTTTTCATTAAAATTAGAAAACGGAATTGTTGTTGCAATTGGTTCTAATTTCTTATTTATAAGCGGAGCTGACTCTGAAAAACATACCATTTGAATAAAACAGAGATAAAGAAAAAAATTGCAAATAAAAAACTCAAAAATGTGATATCGTGATTCATGAGATCATAATTCATAGAGATATGTAAACATTTTTTTCTCTTTCATAATGAAATGAGTGATAATAATATATTTCATATTTTATATAATTGTTTGTAAATATTAATATTAATTTAATTGGACATTTCATATTTAAATACAAAATTAATTACATAAACAAACAAACATTATCTTATTTTCCCTTTATATGTGAGTTGGAAATATTTTAATTCATGTAAGGAAGAGCTAATGAAACTAAAATTGCAAGTATATACCTATCTATATCTATCTATCTGATGTTTACTTAACATTCTAAAGCGCATAATTAATACCTTACCTCATCTTATTCAAATAAGTATATACTTTTTCTGCTCTAATAATATACCAAAAATAAGATTTTACGTCAACTTTACTTTTTGATTTTTTGTTCATATCAAAAATAAAACGAATATCTATGACTAGTTTGAAAATAGAGTTGAGTGGAGTTACTTAGTTTCTTGAAAACTTATTAAAAATCTGTACGCATTATGTAGATACATACTAAATAAAATAATACAAGTTTCTGAAATGAAAGGACATATTTTGTAGATGTATGCATTATGAGTAAGTAAAGAAGTAAAGTTGACGTAAAATCTTATTTTTGGTATATTATTAGAGCAGAAAAAGTATATACTTATTTGAATAAGATGAGGTAAGGTATTAATTATGCGCTTTAGAATGTTAAGTAAACACCAGATAGATAGATATAGATAGGTATATACTTGCAATTTTAGTTTCATTAGCTCTTCCTTACATGAATTAAAATATTTCCAACTCACATATAAAGGGAAAATAAGATAATGTTAATGTTTGTTTGTTTATGTAATTAATTTTGTATTTAAATATGAAATGTCCAATTAAATTAATATTAATATTTACAAACAATTATATAAAATATGAAATATATTATTATCACTCATTTCATTATGAAAGAGAAAAAAATGTTTACATATCTCTATGAATTATGATCTCATGAATCACGATATCACATTTTTGAGTTTTTTATTTGCAATTTTTTTCTTTATCTCTGTTTTATTCAAATGGTATGTTTTTCAGAGTCAGCTCCGCTTATAAATAAGAAATTAGAACCAATTGCAACAACAATTCCGTTTTCTAATTTTAATGAGAAGAAAGAACAAAAGATGAGAGAATGAGAAAGTGATCAAGGCAAAACAACTTTTGATAATTTTTTTGTATGAAAATGGCTTTATGTTAGAAAAAGGTCGTGAGCTTTGCAATGTTGAATGTTATGTAAATGATTACTCAATGAATGAACTGGATGAACTCTGTTAGTGTTATTTTGCCACATCTGTTAGGACTAAGTATAGTAGATCCCATAATTATAGTGGGCTGTATAATTGTAAATTGTAATTAGTAAATTTTGATCAAATCAATATTCTTTTTGTTATCAATCATGAACTCACAGATCATAAGCTTTAAATTATAATCTCAAAAGCTTAAAGCTCTTATTGCTATAAAAACAAATTAAATGAAAAAACTTACACCTCAGTTTGATCTATAAATTGCAGAGAAAATTTACTTACGTTCTTTCAAATTTTTCATTTTTGAATTAAACTAATTTTAATAAATTTTTTATTTATTTGTTTGATTAAAAAAAATTTACATCTTATTGGTTTTATATGTATTTTTTTAAATAAATATGGTAAAGGCATGGTATATGGATGATTCTACGGAAGACCAAAGATTGGAACACTACGCAAATCCTGATAAACCAGAATTTATAAATCTTGAAGAACTATATAAAAAAACTGGCGTAGAACATTTTATTGTAAGTATAGCAATGAAAAAAAACCTAACTCTAATTAGAAATTTAAGAACTAAAAAATTACAAATGAAATTTGTAATTATTTTACATTTACGACAATAAAAATAAAGATTTTCAACATTTTCCGTGAATGTCAAAAATGCATTTTTATATTCTGTCATTTCATAGCAAATTATGAGCGCAATCTTGTGAGCGTTTTAAGAAATTGTTCAGAACATTTTTAAAAAATTTCGTATTTCAGTTAGATGCTAAAAAATACAAGGAAGATGGAAAATTGGACAAAATACGGAAGGAACGTGGGTACTCTTACGAAGATGAAGTAATTATTCCGAAAATTTCATATTACATATGTATAATTATCCTTTGTATTGTATATTCTTAGTTGACATGCTCTAAAGAATGCTTACCTGATTATGAAAATAAGCTGAAACATTTTTTTACCGAACATTTGCATACTGATGAGGAAATCCGTTTTGTATTAGAAGGCTCTGGTTATTTTGATGTCAGAGAGTAAAAAATATATTGTTTTGTTGTGCGTATTACAATATTAATTTTTGTTTTTCTAGTCAAGATGATAAATGGATTAGAATTTTTGTTACCCCAGGCGACTTGATTGTTATTCCAGCAGGGATTTATCATCGTTTTACTCTTGATACAAATGTAATATGATTGTTGATACATATGACATAATTATATGAATACCTGAATTAAATATATTTATGTTTTAGAATTTCATTAAAGCAAAGAGATATTTTGTTGGAGAACCTGTTTGGTTGCCTTATAACAGACCAGCAGATAATATGAGTTGCAGGCAGGCTTATTTAGAAAACATGAAAAAAATTCAAAACAACATCTAATGTAGTTTCGATTGTGATAAAATACATACATACATTATGTACATATAAAGAGTTAAATCTAAAATAATGGATGTTTAAAATTATATTATAATACTAACGAAAAAAAAATGAATAATAACAACTTTACTCAAATCGGAGAATATAAATTTTCTTGGTTTACGTATATTATGAATGTAAAACTTCAGTTAAGGGATAACTTTGAAAATTGAAAAAGAAATTACATTAATTAAAACATTTAATTTAATTTGTTCAATTATACTTAACCCAGGAACATTACAAATTAACAGTAATGTAGTGACCACAGCTACACATTTTGTTCTGTAAAGGACAAATCAACAAATCCAGTAATAAATTAAATGAAGTCAAAAAAAAATTAAACAGTAGGTTCATTATTCAGACAGAACTAAATTTAAATTCAGTTATTTTATTAAAAAATAAGCTACGTCTAATGAAACTGTTTAAACAAAAATTATTTAATTTTTTGACAAGTCGTATGGATAACATATATTTTGATGTCAAAAACTAACTCCAATTAATCCTTTTAATCCAATTATTTTAAAATAAGCCCCTGGGTTTATCACTTTTTAATAAATGGGTTATATGACATTCGTTCTTTTGTTTCTTTTGGATGAAAATGTAGCAAATCATGGGATATTGCAATTCTTTTTGTATACAAAATGAAGCATCCACAGGTTTAAGAAGCACGAAATGGAAACTCGGCTGACTGTCAGGAATTAGAATCTAAAAAAATAATTTTTTGGACGTAGTTTATGAATTGAATTAGTAAAACATGCCAATCAATTGCCCTGAAGAAAATTACAATTACAAATCGTCAATATGAATTCTCATAATATTATTAATTTTCTATGTAAATCATGTGAATGACAACGAAAACAGAAAAAGCTTAGTTGTCATTGATTTGTCAAAAAATATATGACTTTGACATATACTTTACAAACCATCTTTATTTCTCATCCCATTTTGTTTTTCTATTGATTTCAATTAAATAAAAACATTTAAATTTTCTACATTAAAATCGTAAAATATAATATAAAACAATTTTACTAAAATGGCTAAAATGGCTTTTCAACACAAGGCTGGTACAGCAATGGAATGTTTAAGCGTAAGAAAATCAATTCAAAGGCGGTGCCATGTTAATGTTTTTTTTTGGAAATTTTTAGATTCCTATAACACTGCACAAGGAGAAAGATGTTGATGAAGAAGGTCGAGAAGTACTGAAGTGTGGATTTAAGATTGGTGGAGGTAGCTAAATTTCCAAAAATAAATTATTTTATTTATTAAAATGTATTTCATACAGGAATTGATCAAGATTATAAAAAATCGCCTCAGGGTTATACTGACTACGTAAGCATGTTCAAAATTAAATATTTGCATCATCAATTCTGAAATATTCGAAAGGTAATAAAGTTACTATTTTTAGGGTATATATGTCACTGAAGTACACGAAGACAGTCCAGCAGCCAGATCTGGTTTAAGAATTCATGATAAAATATTGCAATGCAATGGTTACGATTTTACAATGGTAACCCATAAAAAAGCAGTAAGTTACATACGAAAAAATCCCGTACTAAACTTGCTTGTTGCTAGAAAAGGTGTAACGTCTACATAAAATAATACTGATTTTTCTTATACGTCAATTCGACATATAATCTTTAAAATTAAATTCCTATATAATTGAAAAAAAAACAAAAGTATAAACTCGTCAGTATCATAATATTAAGATAGTAATAATAGTAAGACAGCTTATTTTACGTAAATTGTAGAAGAACTTTACTATTATAGTTTATTTTGATCCTTGAATTTTCTTTTTTTTTCTTTTTTTTTTAGAGGTTTGGTTGTTATGTTGGGGTTTAGTAAAAATTTGTATAATATTCATTCAATTTTAAGTAACGGTTATGCATATTTCTGTAAATATTAGAACAATATTTATTAAATAAAATATCAATATTTTTAATATATTATTTACAAAATTTTGTATTGAATTTGAAAGTTGGAAAAAAGAAACTACAATTTACGTTTTATTACTTAAAAATCCCTTAAAATATGCGATACTCATTGTATAAAGTTAAAAGTTAGCCGCTTTAAATGTAAGTTTAAAAATTTATGAACATTATACATAATATGAAATAAGAAAAAGAAAAGATTAACAATTAACACATATTTATAATAAATACATATTTAAGTTGCGAAGAGTATGCTTTTTATAGACGTAATAATTGTAAAAAGTAGAAATGAACAACTGCCAAAAAAGCATTTTTTATAAAAGTTTACATCTTTATATCAAAACAGTTATATTAAAATTTATTAAGATGAAATGAAAATTTTTTAAAATTTTATTAAAATATAAATAGCATGCATTTGTAATAGCAATATCATTCCAAATATATTTCATAGATTTTTATTATGTGATAAGAGGATATCAATTTTTTGTTAATTTTACATGACAACTTTTTTTTAAATATGTAAATGTTTTCATTAATAAAAACGAAAAAAAAAAGAAATTTCTTTTACTTATGTGACCAACTTTTAACATTGTTACAAAGATTAAAGGCCGACAGGCCCACTTTTATAGATAAGATCTAATATATACATATAGATTGCCCACTTTTATAGATAAGATCTAATATAGGTATATACGTTGGAAACCTTAAAAATTAAACACATTTACTAGCTATAGTCCCATTAAATTTTGCATTTATTGCTACGTAATTTGACTAACTTCAAAAGACCGGAAATGAGGAAACTCAGTACAAGTATGTTGCACTTCATACCGAAAAATAAAATAAATATTTCTTCGCCTTAACATATTTCCTCACTAAAATGCAATTTTTTAGTTGTACCTTAACCTCGATTACCAGATCGATGACAGTACAAAATTTTAAAAATTAAATTTTTAGATTTTACATATCTGACTATTATTTTCAGAAATTATTAATATATGTACATATGTATATACTAAATTGCGTGCATATGTGTAAATTAAAATATTACATAAAGGGTTACTTACCATAATTTGCTTTTAAACTTTTGTAGAATAAAAATACTTTTCGTATTTAAAATTGAATCTTATCAACATTCAAATGGAGGAATTTTTTTAAAAATTCAGAACCGTTAGGTTATTTCAGTTATTTGTTTTCAAACTTCAAAACTATTGCGATTACATATTTTTATAGAACAAACAGTTCGAGGCATAGATTATATAATATTATACAACTGGTTCAGAGGTTGTTACAAAATATGAAATATATGTACATACATATATTCTGACTTTGTTACATGTAGATGGAGTTACTGCGTATGTAATAAAAAATTACGATACTTATAATTCATGGAAAAAATTTTAATGCTAAACAATGATTGAAGAATTAAAATTTTAAAAAAATTAAAAATTTTTTAAAAGTTTTACAATTTCATGTTTTCAAAGAAATACATAAAATTGTAAGAGTGAAAACAAGTGTCAGAAGTTAGTAAAATTTGCAACAAATATTTCGTAAAAATGTTGAATGTTATAAAATGCTTACTCCTTCGTTAAATTTATTAATATTAATGCTCCAACCTTTGTCAAAAAAATATTTTGTATAAAAACAACTAAAAATATTTTATATACATATACCTGTTTTTCCTTTTTTTCAACTTTCAAACAAATATTTAATTACATACGCATAAATATTTTGAATAATGGTCCTGTCAAAATATTTAAAACAAACAATATCATATTATTTTCAATCACGCAGAAAATAATGGTGTCATGTGTATTTGAGTATATTTGATGCCAATTGTACTGCTCAGCTCAAGCCCTTTGATTTTCTACAAAATACTTACAGCCAAGTACATGATCGGATGGTACATGCCACAACATTCTTCTTTTCTTAAAATGTGAATACACTTTTCTAATTTTGACATAATAAATGTTTATAAACATTTTGTACATAAAACTGCGTTATTCAAATTGATTTGAAATGACAGACATTGTCTACAGTCATTTAGAGATACATGACAAGAAAGCTTGTGCTATTTCCTATTCAAAAAATAACTAAATTTCAATATATTTTAATCAAAATAAATAAAAATAAATTGTAAATAAACAATATATAATGTATAATAAATAAAAGAACATTAAATTTAAGTGATTTAGATAAATATTATATGAAATATTTGTGATTTAAAAGTGACTTACTAAAACCAATCATAAAACAAAAAAAAGAAAAAAAAATGAAAATTTGTACGACAATAGAGCTGAGTCTGTTCCATTAATGAAACCATGCGATGCGATAATCGATTGCGACGTTTTGTCGGTTTGCGTTGAAGTTATAACCGTGCCGCCGTGTAGTTTATATTACAGAATATTATATATATTATGTGGATAATCTATAGGAAAAAATAATTGTGAAAACAAATAGGATAGAGAGATATATCTTTCTCTACATAAATATATATAAAATTTTAAAACAACAACAATAATATTGTGTCGCGTTTTCATTTAAACCACAAACATACACACTTATACGATACCTAACACAGATTTCTTTCTGACAGCCCAATGATAATTTTTGCGATTATAGGTTGGAGGCGCGATAGCATAAACATTTTATGATCCACAAATATAATTATACAAATAGAGTAATTTACGTGTTTGGATACATATATACATATGTCTATAAAAAAAATCTATAGAAGAAAAAAAAAATAATTTGACAAGTTTTTTTTTTATATTTCGGAAATAAAATCTCGTGTTTCTAAATTTTTATAAACAAAACAATTTTTTTGTGTGTTTCTACATGTGATATAAAAAAATATGTATAATGAATACATTTTTATAATGAATATATATACATATTTATATACATATGTGAACATTTAAGTATGTCTAATTAAATTTGAGTTTTGTTTTTATTTTCACTTTGTTTCATTTTATTAGAAGAAAAAAATTAATAAAAAATTCATTGATTTAATTTATTCAGACTTTCCTAAAATTTAAATAATTATTTTAAATTTCCATTGTATCTTAAACGAATACTAGTGCTTATACTAATTGTATGTATGTATATGGAACGCGTATATTAAATTGGAAAATAAATTTGTTAAGTGCAATTTGAACAAAAAATTTTAATAATACGTAAAAAAAACAAAGCTCAGTAGGCTAATATAAATAAAAAAAATTTATTTGAAATTTTCAAAATTTTCACATAATTTAAAGTTTAATATTCAATTGAAAATTTAAAGAAAATAAAAGTTGGTACAATTTCCAAAATATCAGAAAATAAAAATTAATAAAATTTCTATGTACCTATCTACATATGTAGATAATATAATACAGTGTGTTTTTCATATACAACACATACGATGTGTATATAATATAATATAGTATATATGTATTAATAAATATATAAGATGGTATTCATCTAATATTAAATGCGAATGCCTCTTCTAAGTTTTTAAAACAAAAAAGTGCGAAAGAGCTAGCAAGTGTTTTAAAAAAATTTTCTTTTTGTATATTTTCTTTGTGTTTTCTTTTTACTTCGTGTTTTTTTTTATGTTTCTTGTTTAAAAAAATATTATTTTAAATTTTTGTTCTTTTTTCTTCAAATCAACAAAAGTTGTTTCCAATTGTGGATTCCAATTTTCAATATCTACACAAATATAGATGATCAAGATAATGATTTAAGGTAAAGTGCACAACATTTATACTAACTAATATTATTAAATTACATTATTTTTAAAAAGATTGCATAATATAAATAAAAAGTATTTTATTTTCTTAAATTGCTTATGGTATTATTTACCTAAGTACTTTAAAATTTTATAATGAAAGATTAATTATGAAATGAAATTTAATATCAATTTCTATTACTTATAGTATTTGATTATAATTTATTCGCTATGAATTTTACATAGAAGATAAGAAGCGTGTTTAGTTATAACAAAATCAATAAATAATATAGACAATATTCATACTTACTTATACATATGCGTGGATATTGACATAATAAGTGAATTCGTGAAGTATTTTCTTATTCTTAAAATTTATATTTTGTATTGTAATAATAATAATTATATTATGAATAAATTTTCTAATATAATGTAACTACCTAACATACATACATAATTATTAAAGAACATAATAAAGTAGTTACAAACTATTGGCTTAAGTATATTAAAATTCCACTTTCATTTACCTTCACCAATAAAAAACTTGCGGAATGTAAATAAGTATCTTAATTATTTTCTTAGCTAATAGCTAGAGTATAATTATGTAAATAGAGGGTAAATGTGCATATTGGAACATTCTTATGAACATTCGTAATAAAGAGTAAATCTAAATTTTTGAATAAACCTAAAATTTTAAAATATTTGCTCCAAAGTTCTACTACATTTAAAAATATATAAAAGTATGTTAAAATGGTTTCTATAACAACAATTTAGTTCCTATTTATTTATTTTTAATTACGTTACAATATCACAAAATTGTTTCTTTAACATATTAAAATATAAAAGTAAAGTTGGTAAAATATTATACATATGTAGATAGATTGTAGGTGGCTTGGGATTTAAAATTAATATTTTTAAGCTATAATTAACAACATTATTTGTTTTATAAGTTCATATTAGATTATAAGTTCATTTAGATACAATAAAATTGACCAGCAAAATTTATAGGAATTCATTCTTACTTAATAAAAAAGCAGAATAATTTGAGTCAACTGTTGAATACTTCTATTTTAAAACAATTAAAACAAATTTATCCAATGTAATAAATTAGGTTTATTTTATTTTAATATTATGATCTGTTAATATTTAATTCTGTTTAAAGTTCATAATAATCCAAATTTCTGTTCCATATAAAGAAACTTTATCTTGACCTTTAAAATTTATCTCATTTGTATTCACAATATAATACATATTAATAATATAGTCTAATAGTTTAAAAACTATAGCTTATACTCTTAATGAACGATAACGTTAATACGAATGGGATAACTTGCATATTGTACTCTATTTCGTTTTAAGTTTAAGTATTTGTTTTTCAAAATGGAAATTAGCATACTAAAGAAATTTTTTATTTTTAAAACTAGAAAAACATTATTTCGAATTTTTAAGGTTTTTGCTTAGAAATTAATAGTCGATCTACTTTATGTTGTTATTTCTTATTAAAATTTCTTATTAAAAAGATGAATTTCAGTTAAAATGTACATACATACATATGTATATGAATTTTTGATTTCTACATTAAAAAACATACATTCCTACGTATGTGTACATATCAAATGATTATGGATCAATATATTTTGTTGTAACCACTAACTTTATAGGTATGTACGTACGTATCTATGAATAGTTACAGATCCAATTTTACTACTGTAACTATAATGAAATTCTTATACATAATAACATGTGTAGTCGGATTTTTTTTTAAATTTATTTTACCGGCTTCACGACTTTATTACTTATTGTTTTAATGTCTGTTAGTAATAATATGATAATTTTACCTTTACAAATATTTTCAAGGGTTCTGATTTTCTTACTGTGTCGAAAAATGTTTTATTTCATCTGACAAATAAATACATACAGAGGGTAATACTATTTGAAGTTTAAATGGGTCAGAGCAAGAAAGTCTACATGCAGAATTAATATGTTGTTATATATTGTATTTAGTTGCAGCTAAAACATTAAATTTTAAACTTAAATTTTTGAAGTTTTTAAATTTATATATTTAAACTACATGCAGCATATGTATATATACATATAAATATATTGAAATTTGGCACTCACACCTGAACAAAGATTTTTACACATTTTCTATCCTATGATATATAGTTATTGTTCTATACCTTTCTTAATTACCCTGTACATTTATATATGTACACATATGTATCACTTGCTCAATTGCTATTACTGCGCTAAGAAAATTATGCATACTTATACTAAATTTTTGAACGAGAAATATTTAACAACATAAGTACATACATATCCGTGTGTATGTCACATAATAATTTATGAAAAGTGCAAAGTTTTAGAGAATACTTAGAAAATGGGGTTTTCGTCAACCTGTTGACTCTGTCAATTAAAATAAAAATTTTTCAACATTCTGTTTTACTAAACTAAATTTATTATGGGTAGTTTTTTATGATTTTACAAGATTCTAATGTATTTTTTTAATCTATTGGAATACGAAATAAAGTATGTATGATTGTGTCCATACTAAAGTGTTCACATGAACGCAATTGGTTTTATAATACATTAAAACAGGAAAAATTTATGTATGTATGTACGTGTGTATGAATCTATTACACTATTATGAATTATATATTATTGTTATAATATACATTTATATTCATAATTTTATATCTGCATATATATATATATATATATATATATATATATATATATGTATGTATGTATATATGATACATTTTTATTACGAAATGCAAAACTAATTTTTTCATTCATTTTATATGAACTTTTTTTTGCATAAGTACATACATACATATATTCAATATACATAAGTACATATGTATATACATACGCCCATATGTAGATACATAATATTTATATAAGTATTTTACAAAGAGTTCCACACTTCAATAAAAAACAAATAATTATTACGGTAAAAATTACCTAAATAAAAAAAACAATTAATTAAATAATAAATAGTTATACTTAGATTGTTAAATATATGTGTATGTAGGTATATTGTATATAATATGTAAATATTGTATATAATATGTATATATATATATATAATTTTTTTATGTTAGTCATATCTTATATACAAATATTTATTATTTCTAAATTCATACACAAAATTACTTTATTTGTACATACATAACATATGTACATATGTAAATATTTGTTTATACATGTACTTATGCATAAATTATTAAAAATAAAATATTTTATATTTTACAATAATTTGTGAAATAAAAAATCGAAAAAAAATATAACAACAGCAATAAATGATAAAATAGGAAAAAAAATTAAGAAAACGACGTCACAACCAACAATAAAAATAATAAAACAAAGCAACAAACAAAAACAATAGCTGCATAAATAACGCTACTAAACAACATCCACAATACAACAAAAAAAGTAGTAAAGAAATATATGAACATATCCATAAATATACATACACATATCAAAAACTACAAAGTATTAAACAACAAAAACAGCAACACTACCACCCAACAACAACAAAACTGTACAATAAAAACTAAAAAAGAAAATAAAGCACAATCAAGATTCAATATCCAGAAACAGCAACAATACAATCAGTGTTGTCGTCACAGAAGAAAAAAAATTTGGTGATATCGAAAATTCTCTAAATTCGTATAATTTTAAAAGCAGAAAATTTCCTAAAATCCATTACAAATCCTAGAGGTATATATTTCATTTTAAAAAAGAACACAATATTGAATTCATAATATTGGTTGATATATTAGAAATAAAATTATTCAAATATAAAGAAATTACATACATAATAATATGCAAACATAAATTGCTTTTTGAAAGCAAAGAACGAAAATTACAAAAGTATCAACGTCAAAGTATGATATTAATTTTTATTGTTTTTATTATGTTATAGTATTTGTATGACATTGCATTTCCTATAATACAACAAAAAAGAACGCAACAAAAAGAAAGAACAATAATGAATAAAAAGTAAAATTTGTTAGAAAAGTCAAAAATAGCTCAATTATTCATTCTTCTTTTTTTATCTTAAATTATTATTAAGAAGAAATGTCGCTGCAAATCATTAGTTTCTTTTATTCAATTTCCTATTATTTTTTGTTGTTTAAGTGTTATTAAAATCCCTATAGCTAAAGTGGTAAAATCAGTGAAACGGCATCACTGATTAATTAAAAACGTCTAATCTTCTATGTGTATAAATACACATAAACCCATATATTTAGTACGTAACATCATAACCATAAATGTATTTTAATGAAAATATTTGATAATGTTAACATACATATACAGGGTGAATCAGAAAAGTAAAGAAGATCGAAAATAGGTAGAACTTTTGTTCCGGACTGGGTGCCAAATCTCAAGGGCTTCCGAGTTCCAGGAATTTTAACGAATTTTCACGAAACTTTTACTTATCCCAGTTTTTTTTTATTTTCTGAAATTTTATTTTTTTATATTCTGAAAGGAACTTTAAAGAAACAGTGTAGTAAAGGGCTTAAAAAAACATGTTACTTAATTTGTATTTTAGGTACCTTCGGAATACCAAACATTCGAACTTTAAGGAAAATCAAATTTTTCCCTTGTTTTTGTTTTTTGCTCAGTTTTTTTAACTTTTCGTTTTAAATTTTAATTTCGTTTTAAATTTTTTAAAATCTTGAATTTTTTTTTATAGAATTTTTCCCAGCTGCTTAAGCTTTAATTTTAGCCCTCAAACATTATTTTTTTTTTTATGGTACAGAAGATATAGCACAAGAACCACAAATATTGTGGGCAACAAATTCAATTAAAATCAAATCAGATGTTAATAAAATTAAAATTAAATTCAATTTAATTTTCCTTTTTCAAAAAATTTGGAAAGATAAGAATTACTTATTCAAAAAATTTACAAATTTCTTAAAACAAACACTAAATTCTCCCAGGAAATTCACCTAATTCGTCAAAAATTTATGTTTTGCTTCTTTCAAATCTATTTGATCTAATTCTA